GGATCACAAAGTCAGGAGTTCAAGACCAGACTGGCCAACATGGTGAAACCCAGTCTCTACTAAAACGTACAAAAATTAGCTGGGTATGGTGGCCCGTGCCCGTAATCCCAGCTACTTGGGAGGCTGAGGTAGGAGAATTGCTTGAACTGGGACCCAGGAGGCAGAGGTTGCAGTGAGCCGAGATCGAGCCACTGCACTCCAGCCTGGGCTACAGAGCGAGACTCCATCTAAAAAAAAAAAAGTATTGAATTAATTGAGTTGTAAGAATATATATGTTGTCTTTTCAGCTAATAGTAGTTTCATTTATAGCACAAAAGTTTTTAATTTCAATGAAGTCCAGGCCGGGTGCGGTGACTCCTGCCTGTAATCCCAGCACTTTGCGAGGCCAAGGGCAGCAGGTCAGGAGTTGGAGACCAGCCTGACCACTATGACCAAACCCCATCTCTACTAAAAATATAAAAATTAGCCGAGGCAGGCGGATCACAAGGTCAAGAGATCAAGATTATCCTGGCTAACACGGTGAAACCCCATCTCTACTGAAAACATGAAAAATTAGCTGGGCGTGGTGGCAGGTGCCTGTAGTCCCAGCTACTAGGGAGGCCAAGGCAGGAGAATCGCTTGAAGCCAGGAGGCAGAGGTTCTGGTGAGCTGGGATTACAGGCATGTGCAATCACGCACGGCTAATTTTTGTGTTTTTTTATAGAGACAGGGTTTCTCCATGTTGATCAGGGTGGTCTCAAACTCCTGGCCTCAGGTGATCGCCACTTTGGCCTCCCAAAGTGCTGGGATTACAGGTGTGAGCCACCACACCCAGCCTACATTTTCTTCTAAGAGTATTATAGTTTTAGCTCTTACACTTAGATCTTTGATCCTTTTGAGTTCATTTTTGTGGATGGGAAAAAGAAAATTTGTGATTGGGATAAGGAAGAATGCATCCTCATTCTTAAGCATGTGGCTGTCCGGTTATCCCATTTATTGAAAAGACTGTTTTCTCCCTCATTGAATTATCTTGGCACCCTTGTCCAAAAATCAACTGACCGTAAATGTGAGGGTTTATTTCTGGACTCTCAGTTCTGTTCCAGTGATGGACGTCTCTGTCCTGTTCCAGTGCCCCGGTCTTGTACACACAGCTGTGGGATAAGTTTTGAAATGGTGAAGTGTGAGTCTTCCAACTTGTTCTTTTTCAAAATTGTTTTGGCTATTTTGGTCCCTTGCATTTCCATATGAATTTCCCAACCTGCTTGTCAGTTTCTGCAAAGAGGAAAAGAAATGGTTGGGATTCTGATGGGGATTGCTTTTTGAATCTGTGTCAGTTTGGAGAGTGTTGCTGTTTGCACAGTGCTAGGTACTCCAGTCTTTGAACACAGGATGTGTTTTTATTTATTTAGGTCTTCTCTAAGAATGGCCAAAGCTGGGCACAGTGGCTCATGCCGGTAGTCCCAACACTTTGGGAGGCTGAGGTGGAAGGATCGCTTGAGGCCAGGAGTTCTAAACCAGCCTGGGCAACATAGATTTTTTTTGTTTGTTTGAGACAAAGTCTCTCTCTGTCACCCAGGCTGGAGTGCAGTGGCATGATCTTGGCTCAGTGCAAGCTCCACCTCCTGGGTCCAGGCAGTTCTGTCTCAGGCTCCTGAGTAGCTGGGACTACAGGCGTGTGCCATCACACCTGGCTCTCTTTGTATTTTTAGTCAAGATGGGGTTCCACCATGTTAGCCAGGCTGGTCTCGAACCCCTGACCTCAGGCAGTCCGCCCACCTCAGCCTCCCAAAGTGCTGGGATTATAGGCATGAGCCACCGCATGCGGCCCTTTTTTTTTGACTCAGTTTTCTCTGTCACCTAGGCTGGGAGGACAGTGGCGCCATCTCAGCTCACTGCAGCCTTGACTTCTTGGGCTTAATTGATCCTCCTGCCTCAGCCATCCAAGTAGGCGGGACCACAGATATGTGTCACCACACCTAGCTAATTTAAAAATACATATTTTGGGCCTGGCAAGGTGGTTCATGCCTGTAATCCCAGCACTTTGGGAGGCCAAGGCAGGTGGATCACCTGAGATCAGGAATTCAAGACCAGCCTGACCAACATGGAGAAACTCCATCTCTACTAAAAATACAAAAATTAGCTGGGCATGGTGGTGCATGCCTGAAATCTCAGCTACTCGGGAGGCTGAGACAGGAGAATTGCTTGAACCTGGGAGGCGGAGGTTGCAGTGAGCCGAGGTCACACCACTGCACTTCAGCCTGGGCAACAAGAGTGAAATTCTGTTTCAAAAAAAACAAAAACAAAAACAAAAAACAATTAGCTGGATATGGTGGCATGCCCCTGTGTCCCAGCTACTCAGGAGACTGAGGCAGGAGAATCGCTTGAACCTGGAGCCAGAGGTTGCAGTAAGCCGAAGTCACGCCACTGCACTCTAGCCTGGTGACAGAGCAAGATGCCATCTCAAAAAATATATGTATATATTTTTTGGACTGGGTGCAGTTAGCCTGGCTAACATGGTGAAACCTGTAGTCCCAGCTACTCAGGAGCCTGAGACAGAACTGCTGTAATCCCAGCACTTTGGGAGGCTGAGGTGGGTGGATCACCTGAGGTCAGGAGTTCGAGACCAGCCTGGCCAAGATGGTGAAAATTAGCTAAAATTAGCTCTACCAAAAATACGAAAATTAGCTGGGTGTGGTGACGGGCACCTGTAATCCTAGTTACTCGGGAGGCTGAGGCATGAGTGAGAATCACTTGAACCCAGGAGGCAGAGGTTGCAGTGAGCCAAGATCACGCCACTGAACTCCAGTGTGGGCAACAAGAGTAAAATTCCATCTCAAAAAAAAAAGAAAAGAAAAAACATATATATATTTTGTAACTATCTCACCATGTTGCCCAGGCTAGTCAAGCGATCCTCTCACATTAGCCTCCTAAAATGCTGGGATTACAAGCATGAGCTGCTGCACCCAGCTGAAAAAAATTTGATCCCACCACCGCACTCCAGCCTGGACAACAAAGAAGACCTGATCTCCAAGACCCAAAACAAAAATAATGGCCCTGGCCGGGCGCGGTGACTCAAGCCTGTAATCCCAGCACTTCGGGAGGCCGAGGCAGGTGGATCATGAGGTCAAGAGATCGAGACCATCCTGGTCAACATGGTGAAACCCCGTCTCTACTAAACATACAAAAAATTAGCTGGGCATGGTGGCGCATGCCTGTAATCCCAGCCACTTGGGAGGCTGAGGCAGGAGAATTGCCTGAACTTAGGAGGCAGAGGTTGCAGTGAGCCAAGATCGCGCCATTGCACTCCAGCCTGGGTAACGAGCGAAACTCCATCTCAAAAAAAAAATAAATAAATAATAATGGCCCTTGCACCCTTTTGTGTGTGCCTCTCACCATGTGTTCCCCACCAGACTGGCAGCTCCTGAGACACAGACTCTGAGGCCTGGGGCCTTGGCCTCTCTGTGGTCAGTGAGGAGGAAGCGCCCTGCACAGGCTGCATGCGAATACAAGAGGCCCTGCATTGCTCTCAAAACTATTTCTTCTTTGCACTTTATCTTACAGAGGGGCCTGCATATGAGTGCACAGGGTCTCCCCAAGGGCCTGTTTTCTGCACCAGAAGGCTGAAGGCAGCCCGGGTCTATTCCCGGGGTTCTCTGTAGCCATTGAAAATAACGAAATATGGCCAGCCTGGACAACATAGCAAGACCCCATCTCTACAAAAATTAGTTAGCGGGACATGGTGGCACACACCTGGGGTCCCAGTTGCTTGGGAGGCTGAGGTGAAGGATCACTTGAGCCCAGGAGTTGGAGGCTGCAGTGAGCCATGATTGCATTTGTGTACTTTAGCCTGGGTAAGAGAATGAGAGCTTGTCTCAAAAAAAAAAAAAAAGAACAAGGTAGCTGATGAAACCTTCCATGTGCTAGATGGGAGGCTGAGAGCTGGGAGCTGGCCCTGAGCACCCCAGGCCTCTCCAGAGAGCTTGTGCCTCTGAGCCCGGACCCAGCACACCCTCATTAGCTGTAGCATGGAAATGTCTTACTCCCTGATTGGGGCTTCTAACAGGTTGAATAGCAAGGTCCAAACTGAGCCAGTTTGTCATTTATCTCCAGGTCTAGCAGAGGTGTCCCACAAGCTCCATCTAGGAGCAGAGCTGAATGAAGGCAGAAGAACAGGGCAGGTGCAGAGCAGGGCCCAAAGGCACAGAGCAGGACCCGGTGCCCTGGAGGCCTGGAGATGGCCTCGCCCTTCACCTGCTAGCCATTTCCTGGGTGTTGATGGCCCCGGCCTGCCCTAGCCTGTCATTCATCCCTGCAAGCAGGAAGCCTCCTGCCGGAGAAGAGACTGGGGCTGGAAGGATCTGGGGGGCTGCAGGGTGAGCCTGGGAGCCAGACCCCAGTTAGCCCAGGCCTCCCTGAAGACCCCAGTGGGCCCCAACCGTCAGTCAGGATTAGAGCAAATCCCCGCTGGTGCTCAGTAAATATTCATGATGGCCTCTGTCCTCCCTGGCGTGCAGGGTAGGGGGCTTGAGCCTACAGAGCCAAGAGGTAGCACGGCCACCCCTAGAGCTCAGGGGGTGGCTAAGCGGCCCCCACAGGGCACTGCCTGTCCCTGGCTGCTGTGTAAACCACCCACAGGGCAGCACACAGAATGGTGGCCCAGGTGGCCGGGAGCCCCCATGGAGCTGGGACCCAGCCATGGGCACTATCAGAGCCGCCCTCCCACTATGGGTCCAGCCTGCTGCCCAGGGTCCAAACAGCCTTCTAGAAGACGGTGTAGTCAGGGTCCCCCAGCCACCACCATCTAGGCCCTCAGGCCTCCGGAAGTCACTGCCAGGCCTGTACCTTTCAGAAACCCCTGGCATGGGGGCACAGGTGTCAGTCCAGGCAACCTCATCCTGAGAAAACAGCCGCCCGTGTCCCCTGACTGCAGAGTGAGCAGGGCCAGCAACAGCCGCCCGGAGCTGCGAAGGTAGGTGTCCCAGGGGTGGGGCTGGCCCGCTGAGCAGTGCCTCTCCCCACAGGCTACAGCATGCTGGCCCTGGGCATCGGAACCCTGTTCTTCGGATACTGGAAAATAATTAAGTGGAACCGTGAACGCAGGTAGGGCCCCGAGTGGTGTTGTCTGAAAGTCCCCCGGGCCAGTTGTCAGGGTACAGTAGCACTCCACTGCTGCCCGTGCTGGCGATGGGGGCACCGGCTCCTTGGACTTGGCTGTGCAATCCCAGGCCCCAGAAAGTGCAGGTCCATACCAGCATTTCATCTCTAGGCTGTCCTCGAGGTGTCTTCACACCCGTAATCCCAGCACTTTGGGAGGCCAAGGTGTGAGCTCAGGAGTGTGAGACCAGCCTGGGCAGCAGAGCGAAACCCTGTCTCCAAAAAAAAAAAAAAAAAAAAAGTGTGTCTAGTGAGCAGGGCTGGGACCTATGGATCCAGGTTAGGATGTGAGTGGGGGCCTGCCTCGGGGCCTCTAAGCAGGATTTCGTCGGAGGGGCCAGGCTGGGCACTGCTTCCCTCCCACCCCCTGCCAGGCAGGGCTGGGAGATGGGGTCATTGCAGGGAACTTGGAAACTGCCAGAAAGCAGGGGGAAGAAAGGAGGGATGTGCGGCCCCGCCTGCCCCAGCCTCACACCCTGTGATTATTTTGAGATGAAGGGGACGTGGTTTTGTGATGTGAGGCCCAGAGCCCCGTGATGAAGTCACCCCTCCTCATCGAGATCATTAGGCAGTTATTTTTAGGATAAAGTTTTTAATTGAAAAGAAAGGGTGAAGCCAACAGTCTTGTGGGCAGTCACCCATGCAGCTGCCCACACCGCCCTCCTCTCAGGCTCCTGGTGGGCTCTGCCCATGGCTCTCACCCTGCCCTCTGCCTCCTGCCCACCCCCCCCCCGCCTCTTCTCCCAACTCCCCCCTCCCCGCCTCTTCACCCAGCAGCACCCTGGCCGGCTGAGGTCCACGCTGCCTGTGCTCCCACCACCCAGCCTAGTCTGAGCTGAGTGGGTTTTGGGCTTTCACAGGCGCCTACAAATCGAGGACTTTGAGGCCCGCATCGCACTGATGCCGCTGTTCCAGGCTGAAACGGACCGGAGGTAGCGCCCCTGGAGCCAAGGTTGGGAGGTCACTGGCCTGAGGGCCCCAGGCTGCAGGGCCTGACCTGCATCCCTGAAGGTGGCCAGAATGCACATGGGGGCCATCAGCTGTGTCCTCAGAGAGGCATGGAGACTTAAATGGAGACCCCAGGGGCGGCGAACCAGAAGGCAGGGTCAGAGGGAGGCTTGAAGGGGTGCTGCTAGGGGCCCTAGGTCAGGGCCCCCCAGGGCATTGAGCCCCACCCTCACCACTGGCCCCATCCCTGCAGGATCCTGCACATGCTTAGGGAGAACCTGGAGGAGGAGGCCATCATCATGAAGGATGTGCCTGGCTGGAAGGTGGGTCCCTGGATGGGAGGGCAGGGGTGCCAGCCACTGCAGAGACAGAGCCCGGGGTGGGGGACTTCTCACAGCCTTCTATAGAAAGCCCGGGACCAAGGGGGTGGTGGGTGCTGGGTGCTGGGTCCCAGTAGGGGAAGGCTGGAGTACCTGGCCATGCGCAGTGGCCACTGGTCCTGGGGGATGGATCCCAGCAGGCCGTATGTGGGTGGCTGTGCCCCTACCTGTACCCCACTGCCCACACAGGTCGGGGAGTCTGTGTTCAACACAACTCGCTGGGTGCCCCCCTTGCTCGGGGAGTTGTATGGACTGCGCCCCCTGGAGGAGGCTGTCTTTGCCAACCACGGCTTCATGATGTACACATAGGCCCTGCGCCCTCTGTACACCTGGACCCCTTCCCCTTCCCACTGAGACCGAATAAATGCTCTTCAGACCTGGCCTGCCTGTTTTCCTGGGGACTGGGGGAGAGATGGGGGAGACGGCTCAGCCAGGCACCACTGGCTCACATGCAGCATGGGGATGCAGCAGATGTGATACGGGGTGACCTCAAAACACACCCAGGGGCTGCCCCTGGCTCCACCGCAAGCCTCTTCTCCGCCCCTGATACACCTAGACTCTTCTGTCAGCAGCCCACTCACCCGTCCAGGCTGGGGGCCCCAGGGTCAGGTTTGGGTCAGACTTTCACAGAGGTCTGGGGAATGAGGGCAGCTTTGACCTTCCGGATGCAAGTGATCCTCCTGCCTCAACCTCCCGGGTCACTGGGATTATAGGCGTGAGCCCCCATACCCGGCATGGCCCCGCTAATTGTAGGCATGGCGAGGGTATTTGGCTGCGGAGGATCTCCTCGCTCCCTGAAAGGGAAGCCCAGAGATGCGCGGGCATAGCTGCAGAGAAACCAAGTCGGGGAAGGCAACCAAGATTGGCCGGGTGGCTCTGCAATGGGATCCTGGCAGTTCTGTCCCTGGCACGAAAGGGTTAAGTCCGTCTGAGTCCACCGACCAATGGTGACACTTAGCGCCTTCGCGGCGCCTCCTGATTGGGGGGCACGCACGGTGGGCGGGAAGGAGGAAAGAGGAGGCACCCCCCTGCCCCCAGGGATGTGCTTAAAAGGCGGTGGCGGTGGCGGCAGTGCCTGGCGCGCCCCAGCTCACCTCGGCCATGAGCAGCGCGGCCGGCCCAGACCCGTCGGAGGCGCCCGAGGAGCGGCGTTTCCTCAGGTCAGCTGGGGAGAGGGACGCTGGGGACCGGCATGGCTCGCATGGGGCCAGGACCGGCCCGTAGGACCAGAGGCAGGGCACAGCTGGGATGGAATGGGGTCCAGGGACTGGAGACAGGCACAACCGGGATGGAGGTTCAGCGGCAGATGCGTGACCGCGGTGGGGAACTGGAAGCAGGGATATGGCCAAGACAGCCGGGGAATCCTAGGCCCACCTGGCATCTTGCTGGAGATACTAAGCTGCGTTGCCAGGGAAACTGCCTGCGGTGGGTGGGTGGGGGGGACAGCCCCGCCCCTCATGAATGATTCATCAGCAGCGCTGGTCACTCCCCCACCAAACCCCAACTTGGCCCACCTCCACTCACCATCTCTCCCAGGGACCTTAGAGAGGCAGGCCCCACTTCCCCATATAGGAAGAGCTGAGCTTAGCCCAAATGCTACCACCTCCCTTGTCCAGAGGAGGAAACTGAGGCCTGGGGAAGGCAGTCATGGTTTGAGCAGATTAGGAATGCAGGTGCTGTTTGCAGGGATTGGCGAGTTTGGGATCCGGAACTGGTGCGGTGGCTGTGACTCCCACCTCAACCTCCTCAGCCTTTGTGACATGGGACCCCAGGCAAGGCCATGGACCTCGCTGTGAACCAGATCTGTCCAGTGGCTCCTGCCCACTGCCCACCTAGCAGGGCACATGGCCCATCAGCCAATGTCCAGACAGCCTAGGGGACTGTCCTAGGAGCTGGAGCTGTGACCTCACCTGGTGTAGGGGACCTCAGATGCTGAGTGAGGGGAGTGAGGGGCTCTAAGGGGTGAGTAGGAGCCAGAACACAGTGGGGAACCTGCTGATGAGGCTGGAGACACAGAAGGGCCTTGTAGGTATGGTGAGGAGTCTGCATGTTCCCAGAGCCCTCAAGAACATGCAGGTTTGGGACTCGGTAATGCAATCTGGTGTTCAAGTTTTCAAAGCCCCTGAGGTTCCTGTTGAGTTCTGGGGGCAGGAGGCTACTGTGGGTGGCCAGGTGAGCCCCCCGGTGGTCAGGTGGGCAGAGGTATGAGGTGGAGAGAAGCAGGTAGGACTGAGAGCAGGGCAAGTGTGGCATGGGCACCCTGGCCTGAGGTTTCACCTCCCAGAGAGCCCCCTCCTGGAAGCATTTGGGAAGTGGCAGGCCCAGTTCCCTTTGGACCCAGGCCTTCTAGGTCTGACAGGTGAATCCTTGAGCCTTGAAGCTTCTCTTTTTGCTGCCCCCAGTTGGGGGCTGAGATTGGGGAGAGCAAAAGGCACCATTGAGCCCCCTCCTCCAGAACCCCACAACAGCAGAAGGGACCTGCGCTGCCTGCCTCCCGCCTCCACCAGGCTCCATTCCCACACAGCTCCCACCCTCACCCCAGAGCTGCTGCTGCATCCCACCACCAGATTCCTAACCTGGATGACCCTCTGCCCACAGAGCCCCCATTATCACTCTAATGACCAGTTAGGAAGAGAATGTTCCAAATGGCTGCCAGAGACCAAAGCTTTGGGACAGAAGAGGAATGAATTGCCGTCCCACCCTCCACTGCCTTCCCGCACCCTCCTGAGGGGGCAACAGTCAGAGCTGTCACAAGCTGGAGGTGGAGGAATGAGCCATGTTCCCAGCCTGCCAGAATACCCACCACGAATGCAAATGCACCTTCTCCTATGTGCTTCCCTGGGAGCTGCACTGGCCTGCCGGGGGGACTCTGTCTGACTTCACCATGAGCTCCTTTTCCCCACCCGGTCCTTCAACTTCATCCTGTGTCAGCCACAGACAGGCTGGGGTTTGAATTTGGCTCTGTATACTGGGGTGTCCCAGGGCATGTGACTTTCCTACCCTGAGCCTCCGTCTCCCCATCTGTGTGGACCTCCAAAGTGTCCTCCTGACCATGTTCCTCAGCCTGGCATTTGAAGCCTCGCCTGCTCTGTCCCCTTGATAACTCTGCTTCAGCCTCCCTTTTGCCCCTTGGACATAGCAGGCCCCTCCCCATCCCAGGGCCTTGGCTTTTGCTGTTGCTGTCCCTGGATTACCTCCGACGATGCAGCAGGCCTCCTCCAGGCAGCCCTTGCTGACTCCCATCCGATAGCAGCAGTCCTCATTCTCCTGCACTCTGTCCACCAGCCTTATCATGGTGCAAAATGGGCCAGAGGGCAGTCATCTCCACTCAGAGAACTGAAGGACAGAAGCTCAGGATTCATTCCCCCAAACCTCCACCATCTGTAGGTCTGGCTCTACATCTTATGTCTGGAGACACCAAGGGGGAAAGACCCAGTTTCCCGACTTGCTTCCTGTGTGACCCTAGGCAAGCCACTCGGCTTCTCTGAGTCATTAGTCGTTTCTCCAACTTTTCTAGGTCTGGCTCTTTTCATTATTATTTATGTTTGTGTTTTTTACTTTAGAAACAAGGTCTCGTTCTGTTGCCCAGGCTAGAGTGCAGTGGCATGATCATAGCTTACTGGGGCCTTGGCCTCCCAGATTGAAGTGATCCTAATGCCTCAGCCTCCCGGGGCACTGGGACTACAGGTGTGCATCACCACACCCAGCCTAGCCCCACCAATTGTGTAGTTCGCCCCAATATTTAGTTTTGCTTTGAGAGATGGAGAAGGACCCCATTCACTCAGCAAAGTGGATGGCAGAGCTTCACCTCAAACTAAGTGGCCCCGTCTCTCTGGTTGCAAATCTTTTTTTTTTTTTTTTTTTTTTTTTGAGACAGAATCTCACTCCATTGCCCCATCTGGAGCAAACTGGGCTCATTGCCTCCCGGGTTCAAGCGATTCTCCTGCTTCAGCTTCCCAAGTAGCTGGGACTACAGGCATGCCCTGCCATGGCCAGCTAATTTTTGTATTTTTAGTAGAGACAAGGTTTCACCATGTTGGCCAGGGTGGTCTTGAACTCCCAACTTCAAGTGATCCACCTGCCTCCTCCTCCCAAAGTGCAGGAATTACAAGTGTGAGCCACCCCACCCGGCCTGGCCACAAATAATCTAATAACGTCACAAGGTCTCGTTGTGTTGCCCAGGCTAGAGTGCAGTGGCATGATCATAGCTTACTGGGGCCTTGGCCTCCCAGATTGAAGTGATCCTACTGCCTCAGCCTTCCGGGGCACTGGGACTACAGGTGTGCCCCTGAAAAGGGATCACCAAAGGGGTTCATGGCCCCAGGCCCCAAGGCTACCCCACTGAGTGTGCCATCAAACTCTGCAGCCTTCAAAACCCTTGGCCCCCAGGTGCCCTCAGTCCAGCCCTCCCCTTTCAGCATCCTGAAGCTTGTTCAGTGGCTCCCACCGCCTGAATTCAGCCCATCACCCCCATCGAAGTCCTTCAGGCTCCATTCCCCTTTCCTGATTCCTTCCGCCTTGGGGCCTGGGTACGTCTAGGTCCGGTTCTGTGTCTCACGCTTTGGAGCGGTGGAACCAACACGCGCCGCCAGTGCATCTTCTGCCACCAGAGGGCGCCTGAGCCCCGGGCTTTGGCTCCCACACCGCGGTCCGCCAGGCCTCCATTCAACCCGCGCGTCGGCCGGGGAAACTGAGGGCATCCCCAGCTCAAGGCTGCAGATGCTATTCGTGGGTACGGTGGGAAGGTGGCTTCGGGACCGGGTTCAGAAGCTTGGTGGAACATTTCTGGCTCCATCTGAGGCTCTGTCTCTCTGTGTCTCTGAGTGTCCCATCCCACTCTGTCCCCAGCACCGCGGAGGCAGCCGCCCTGGAGAGGGAGCTGCTGGAGGATTATCGCTTTGGGCGGCAGCAGCTCGTGGAGCTGTGCGGTCATGCCAGTGCCGTGGCTGTGACCAAGGTACCTGACTCCCCAACCCTGACCCCAACCAGATGGCCAACCGTCCCGAGGTGCATGCCTCCTGTGACCAGGGTGGTCCAGGCCTCAAGAGCCCTCTCTTTGCTTGGGTCTACCCCAGCCTGATGGGTAAACTGAAGCCCAGCGAGGAGCATGCCTGGTGCAGGCCAGACGGGACCTGAGACCACTGGTATCAGCGAAGGCCAGAGCAGAGACTATTTGCAGGGACTGTGCCGGACCCTGGAAGTGCAGACACCTCCTGCACATGTCACCCACCTGCTTCTGCCACCTCCTGAGTCTTGGGCACCAGGGACATCCACTCCTGTGGTCTGAGCACCCCCAAACAACCCCGTTCTGCAGGTGGGGAAACTGAAGCTCAGAGGTGGCGATGGGCCTGCCCTGGGTCACAGGGGGTTGGAAGCAGAGCTGCAACCCAGGTGGGTCTTGTGTGGATGACACAAGGTGACAGCAGTAATGACACTGCGGAGTGCTTCGCCATGCAGCCAGCTTGCTGGGCCTCAGGTTCCTCCTCTGCAGCAGGATAATAAATGGTACTGACCAGTGAGTCCCTAAATGCACATGCTTCAGGAAAGAGTCCCACATAGTCAGGGCTCTAGTGTGACTCCCTACTTCCTCCCCTGCCCTCCTCAGCCCCATTGCCTTTCTCCTCCTTCCTCCTCCTCCCCCCTCCTCTCTCCCTCCTCCTCTCCCGTTTCCCTCCCTCCTCCTCCCCTTCTGCCCCGTTCTCCCCTCCTTTCTCCCTCCTCTCCCTCCTCCCCCAAGGCCCCTCTCCTCCTCCCCCTGCTCCCTCTCCTTCCCCTTCCTCTCTTCCTCCCCTTTCTCCCCCTCCTCCCTCCTCCTCCTCTTTTTCTTATTGCCACTGTATACTTTTTAAAAACTCACTGTTTTTCTTCATGTGGACTTAAATGTTTGTATTTTCAAATGAAATACATCCCGGGTGAGGCGCCCAAAGGAGAAGGAAAGTCAAAACCCCAGAAAGAAACGCAGGTCGTCACTGCTGCCCGGCGCCCAGTGGCCACCCATTCCGTTTTGCACTGAAAGCCCATGGTCTGTCCCGAAGCCCCTCAGTCCCAGTCTTGGGTCTTGGGCTCTGGGCCTGGCCTGGCTGGGGTTGCAGGCGTGTTCATGGCAGGTCAGGACCCGCCGAGCCCTTGGGGAGGAGACTTGAAAAAGCAATTATTTGCCGTCTGTGTGGCTGGAGCTTAAAGTACAACTGGGCTCAGGAGATGCCCAATGTGCCTGTCAGGCGGTGTCACTGTCATCATATTTGATAAAGGCCAAACTGAGGCTGGGAGAGGAGAAGGGGCTGGGGCCACACATAGTCAGTGCAGGGCTGAGGTCGAAATGCCTGCATTAGAGACTCATACACGCCACAGAGACAGCCAGAGACATGGAGCCCCAGAGACGCAGAGACAGGGAGACTTGATGGGGAGAGACACTGAGTCTCAGAGATACAGAGATAAAGACAGCCAGCCAGAGACAGCCGTAGAGAGACAGGCCCCAGGGCAATGTGGGCGGGGTTGGGCTCCCCCACTCTGGGGCCTCTGGGAGGGGCTGAGGTCTGGAAACATGGCGGGGGCGGGCCAGCGGTGAGAAAGGTGGAAGAATGTCTGCAACTCCAGCGGAGAATAAACAAACCGCACTCCGGGAGACGGGCGGTGGCTGGATGCGCGTTTTTCCTGCAGACCTGGCAGAGCCCGAGACCGGGATTCTGCATCTCCGATGGGGAAACTGAGGCCCTAAGAGGCCCAGCCCCTCATCCAGAATGCCTCTCCTCCTGTGCTATCCCGTGGCCTCCAGGCCCAAGCCCCATCCGTTGCCCTACTCTGGGCCTCAATTTCCCCTCTTGAGCACAGAGGAATTTGGCCCGTGCCTGTGCCTTTGCTGTGCCCCTACCAGGCGTTCCCGTTGCCCGCTCTCTCCCGGAAGCAGAGAACGGTGCTGGTTGTGTGTGGCCCGGAGCAAAATGGGGCGGTGGGGCTCGTCTGTGCCCGGCACCTGCGTGTGTTTGTAAGTAGCAAGGACCCCTTCAACATCCCGAAGTCCCTGCCCCTGCAGAAATCACCTCCTTCTTTTCATAGTGTCCCAGGGGGACGTTGACGAAAGGCCAGGTTATAGAATATGCCCAGTGCTGGTCCCCGGCAGGGTCTGGTGCTAGTGACCAGATCAGGGGAGGCTGGGAGGGCCCCCAGCCCTGAACCCCTCTTCCCCCGCAAATCCCTCTTCCCCCACCCCAGGAGTACGAACCCACCATCTTCTACCCCACGCGCTCACTGGACCTGCTGCATCGGGACCTGACCACCCAGTGCGAGAAGATGGACATCCCCTTCCTCAGCTACCTGCCCACCGAGGTCAGGGCCAGGTGGCAAGCGAGGGGGATATGGTGGGCGGTGGCCCCCGGCCGCCCTCACCCTGCCTGCCCTCCCCAGGTGCAGCTCATTAACGAAGCCTACGGGCTAGTGGTGGACGCTGTGCTGGGCCCCGGTGTGGAGCCACGTGAGGTCGGGGGTCCCTGCACCCGTGCGCTGGCCACGCTCAAGCTGCTGTCCATCCCCCTCGTGAGCCTGGACATCCCCTCAGGCATGCTGGACAGAGGGGGGCACATCGGGGCCTGGGGGGCTTGGGTGAAGGCCCTTGTGCCCCAGCTCCTGGTGGCCCCTGCCCATCTGAACCTCAGTCTCCCCAGCTGGGATGGAGCCACACTCGGCTGAGGTTGAGGGTGACGCCCATCCCTTGGATGGGGAAGATGGAGGCTGCCACCCCAGGTGACCCCAGGTCCCCTCCTTCCCCCACCCCAGTGCCCAACCCACATGCCCTCTGCCCACCCCTGGCCCAGTTGCCTGGGCAGACGTGAGCTCACTCGGCAAAGGCTGCGCCTGCCCTGGCCGCCGCCCCACGCCTGTTGGAACCATTAGGCGACAGGCAGATGGAACAAACAGCTGCTGGCCAGCTGGACCCTCCATGGGGGTAGCTGGACTCCGGGGGATGTCCCTGGCTCTTGGGATCCCAGGGACATCCCAGCAGGGTGCTTCAGAACAGGGGTGCTAAGGGAGGAGGTGTGCTGTCTGATCTGAGAGGGAGGCTGCAGGCTCAGCCTAGGACAGAGAGGGTGGTTAGGAACCTCTAGTCTGAGGGTGGTGGCTGGGGTCAGAGAAGGATTAAAGTCTAAGGGGGGACCCAGCGGCTTCTGGTGAGTGGCCCCAGAATCAAGTCAGACGTAGGAGAGAAGGCAAGGCTCCTAGACTGAAAGCGAGACTCATTCGAGAGGTGATGGAGGCCGGGTGGGGCTCATGCCTTCATCCGAGCACTTTGGGAGGCTGAGGCAGGTGGACCACCTGAGGTCAGGCGTTCCAGACCAAAGTGGCCAACATAGTGTGAAACCCAGTCTCTACAAAATACAAAAATTTGCTGGGTATAGTGGTGCACGCCTGTAGTCCCAGCTACTTGGGAGGCTGAGGCAGGAGAATTGCTTGAACCCGGGAGGCAGAGGATGCAGTGAGCTGAGATCTCACCATTGCACTTTAGCCTGGGCAGCAGAGGGAGACCGTGTCTTAAAAGCAAACAGGCCGGGCGCGGTGGCTCACGCCTGTAATCCCAGCACTTTGGGAGGCCAAGGCAAGCGGATCACCTGAGATTGGGAGTTCGAGACCAGCCTAACCAACATGGAGAAACCCCGTCTCCACTAAAAATACCAAGTTAGCTGAGCGTGGTGCACACCTGTAATCTCAGCTACTCGGGAGGCTGAGGCAGGAGAACCACTTGAACCTGGGAGATGGAGGTTGCGGTGAGCCGAGGTCGCGCCATTGCACTTCAGCCTGGACAGCAAGAATGAAACTGTCTCAAATCAAACAAACAGGCTGGGTGTGGTGGCTCATGCCTGTATTCCCAGCATTTTGGGAGGCTGAGGTGGGTGGATCACCTGAAGTTAGGAGTTTGAGACTAGCCTGACCAATATGGTGAAACCCCATCTCTACTAAAATCATAAAAATTAGCCAGGCATGGTAGCGTGAACCTGTTGTCCCAGCTGCTCAGGAGACTGTGAAAAAAGAATTCCTTGAACCCAGGACGTGGAGGTTGCAGTGAGCTGAGATCACGCCATTGCATTCTAGCCTGGGTGACAGCGAGACTCTGACACACACACACACACACACACACACACACAAGGTAATGTCTAATCTAGGGGTGAGGGTAGGGACCTTTGGTCAGATAGAGGAGTGTGTAGTCAAGTGGGGAAGATGGATGAGGACGGCATGTCCTGTGAGAGGCAAGAACCTGGAGCAAGTCTGACGGCGGAGGCTTGCCTGAAGCTGGAGGCCAGTCTGTGGTCTAAGTAGAGGCTGGAGATCTAGTCATGGGGGAAAGCTGGGGTCTGGCTGGAGGTCTAGGAGGAAAGAGGCTCTAAGCTGACGGGGAGGGAGTTGTGCCAGGTCAGAAGGCAGAGGCCTGGCTCTCGTGGGAAAGGGCAGCAAGTGGAAATGATGTCTGAAGACAGGCTGGGTCAGATGGAGGAGGGGGATGGAGTAGGATGGGAGCAGAAGAAAAGTCGAGTGTGGAAGCTCTGGTGGGATTGGGAGGGAAACACCTCCAAGGACCGGGAGAGACTTGTCTGAGGGTGGAGGCAGAATTCTCAAGGGAGACAAGTCTGACCAGGACTCACATTCCAGAGAGAAGAGGCTGGGTCTGATGGGGTAGAAGGGGGAGTGTGCAGCAGGACTCTGGTCTGAGGGCAGAGGCTCAGTGTTGGAAGGGAGGGGACGCAGGACAGGACGGACTCTAGGCTGAGGGCGGGCCACCCTCCCGGGTCCTAATTCCTCCGGACCCTCCTCCCTCAGGCTGGGATGCAGAGACTGGCAGCGACTCAGAGGACGGGCTGAGGCCCGACGTGCTGGTGTCGCTCGCGGCACCCAAGCGCTGCGCTGGCCGCTTCTCCGGGCGCCACCACTTCGTGGCCGGCAGGTTTGTGCCCGACGACGTGCTCCGAAAGTTCGCTCTGCGTCTGCCGGGATACACGGGCACCGACTGCGTCGCGGCACTGTGACCGCCACCCGCGCCTATGCCTCTGGGACCCGTGCCAATAAACAGCCCTCCCACCACCACCGCCTCGCCTCCGCCTCCTTTGTGCACCGGCCCGCCGCGGGGGTGGACACACTCGAGGAGAGACTTCCCACGGTCCCTGGGTGATCCAAGGCGCGGAGGATGGAGAGGGGCTGTGAAGTGGGACTTCCCGCTGACCTCCTAGAAAACTCGAGCTAGGGCTGGGGGCGGTGGTTCCCGCCTGTAATCCAGCACTTTGGGAGGCCGAGGCTGGAAGATTGCTTAAGGCCAGGAGCTCGATACCAGCCTGGGCAAGATAGCGAGACCCCGACTCTACAAATTAAAAAGAGGAAAACTCGAGCCAGAAGAATGAGGGGTAGATTCGGGGTGGGACTCCCAGGCAGCTTGGGGTGTCCTAAAGCCGATAGAATCGAAGTTAGATGCGAGGGAGCACGTGTAGCTGCCTAAAGCGTGAAGGTCCGAGCTTCAGGCTGGCTTCCAAGTGGCCCTTCCCGCAGGCAGCTTGGGATGCAGCTGGGAGGACGAAGAGTGGGCTCGGGGAGGGACTTCCAGCTGGCCTCGGGAACCCAGGCCAGCCTGAGGGCGTAGGCACAGCCGGACGCACGGAGGGGGCGCCCCAGAGGGGTTGCTCGAGCGCCCGTCACACAGGGCCAGGGGGCGTGGTCTGAGTGGGCGTGTCACGGGCGGGGTCTGCGGTCGCTTCCCGCCCCCACCCTCAGTCCCAGCGCCCGCCAGACCTGCCGGAGTTGGACCCGAGCGCGCCGCGGAGCCCGGACCCTCCCTCGAACTCTCTGCCCCGGCCATGGCGTCGTTGCTGTCACTCCTCTGTGTCTGTGTCGCCGCCGCTCACCTGGCCGGGGCCCGAGGTGAGACGCCTCCAGCCCCCGCGCCCAGTCCCCGAGGCTCCCGAAGGCCTGGCAGCCGGCCTTGTGTGCAGCCGCACCCAGGAAGAGAACCCACGGGCCCACGCACTTCCCCAGGGACTGGGTCCCCTTCATCAGTCAGATCCCCGGGACCACCTGGGGCGGGGAGCGGGCCTCATCCATTTTCTTCCTCGGCTAAGCCAGGGGTGTGGATAAGAACCTAGGGTTCCTCCCGGGGTTTGGACTCTGAATCACCGGCCAGGTCTCCCACTCTGGACCGAAGGGGTCGGAACTGGCCCCTCCCACCTAACGCCCACACACCCACTTACTCCAACCGCTGGAGAAAGAGAAATGCCCATCCCTGGAACACCGGATGGGGCGAGGGACGGGCCCACTTCTCAGGTCAGGAGACTGAGGCCCCCAGAAGGAAGGGGATTGTCTGACCTCATCACTCTGCAGGGAGTATCTTGGACAGCTCTTGGAGAAGCCAGTCTAGATTCCAAGGACTTCCGACAGGCAGCTCGGAACTCTAGTGCAGGGATGGAAGGTAGACTAAGGAAGGGACTTCCAGCGGGCCAAGTGGATGAGGGGGGAGCCCAGCCTGAGGGCAGAGGCAGAGCCGGCTAAACTTGATTAAACTCGTGGCAGCTGAACACAGAGGGACAGAGCCTCCAGCCTAGGGCAACTGGCTGGTACTCGGACTTCCCCAGCCAAGGGGTTGGGGCTAGGTCAGAGAGAGGGATTTGGCTTTGGGAGCCTGGTGGTTGTAGTGGGCAGTGCGCTGCAGGGAGTGTGTGGCAGCCCCGGGGCTAGAGCTGGATTCTGGCCTTTCAGAGACTCAGTTTTCCCTCTTGTTAAAATGGGGATGATCGGCCAGCCGGGTGCGCTCACGCCTGTAATCCCAGAACTTTGAGAGGCTGAGGCAGGCGGATGACCTGAGGTCAGGTGTTCCAGACCAGCCTGGCCAACATGGTGAAACTCCGTCTCTACTAAAAATACAAAAATTAGCCAGGCGTGAAGGCGCGTACCTGTAATCCCAGCTACCCTGGAGGCTGAGGCAGGAGAATCGCTTGAACCCGAGAGACAGAGGCTGCAGTGAACCGAGATGGTACCACTGCACTCCACCCTGTGGGAGAGGGAGATTGTGTCTCACAAAAACAAACAAACAAAAAAAGTGGGGGAGGATGATCATGGCTACACCTTGCCTTGAAGGAGGCTCCCAGCGGTCCCCACCACCGTGCTTCCTTCTCCCCACTCCTCACTCACAGACGCCACTTCCACCGAGGAGCCCACGGCGATTGCATTGGGCCTGGAAAGAACGTCCGTGCACCCCGGGCAGCCCTCACCGGCCCTGGAAGACTGGGAAGGTGAGTCGGCCTGCCTAGAATCCCCTCTCTGCAGCGGGTTTGTTGCGGGGACTTGGGCTGCTGGGTCTTGTGAGGAGGGGGCGCACACTGGGCAAAGGGCCCGGGGCCATCCTGGTCCCCGGACATGACAGCCCCTAGAGATGATGCTCCGAGTTCAAGGTCTTAGTGAGGGGCGGGTCAGACAGCCGCAAGATCTCAGTGCGCAGGGATGGGCCAGGTCAGGCCCTGGGCTGCAGAACTGGGGGCGTGGGGAACCCAACCTGCCCTTCACCTGATTCAGGCCGCTGGCTCGGGTCGTGGGCATGCTCGGCTAGCTCATACCCACGGGGAGAGGGGGTCGAGACCGCAGGTAAGGCCTTTGCACGCACGCATGGGGGCCTACAGGCCGCCGCCTCGGTCCCAGCGCTTGCGGTGCCCACAGAGGCCAGCGAGTGGACATCCTGGTTCAACGTGGACCACCCCGGAGGCGACGGCGACTTCGAAAGCCTAGCCGCCATCCGCTTCTACTACGGGCCAGCGCGCGTATGCTCGCGACCGCTGGCGCTAGAAGCGCGCACCACGGATTGGGCCCTGCCTTCCACCGTCGGCGAGCGCGTGCACTTGAACCCCACGCGCGGCTTCTGGTGCCTCAACCGCGAGCAACCGCGTGGCCGCCGCTGCTCCAACTACCACGTGCGCTTCCGATGCCCACTAGGTGAGGGCGGGGCTGGATGGTCGGGGACCGGGCTTGGAACGGGCGATGCTGGCAACAGCCGGGAAGGGTCTTGGGTAGGGCTGGGAGGGGCAGGACCCTGTGGACGTGGGCGTGGCTAGGAAGAGCCTGCGGGACCCCTAGGCATAGGGCCACGTGAGGGGGCGGGGCGATGCAGGGGCGGGGCTTTTGAGGAGAGGTGCTGGGAACAGCGTGGGGCCCAGGTGCACCTCCAGGAGACACGGCAGGTCAGGACCCATGTCCAGCTACCTGGAACGCATGTCCTTCCCGCTGCCCTCGTTTGCGCATCTGTGGCGTGTAAGAGCTCCGTTCTGTGGCGTGTCTTGAGCCCACATGTGTGCAGGATACAGGGAGAAGAGCAGGACTGACCCCCAGGACCTTATGCGGGGGTGGAGAAGTGGGGCAGTACCTGAACTATGTCTTCGACAGGTGCGCTTAGGGGAGCATGGGTAGGGGCAATGGCAGGTCTGCCCTCTGGAGTGTCCGCTCTCGGTTGCACATATGTGAGGGGGTTAGGGAACAAGGACCCTTCAGTCCCAGGTTACCCGGAGGCGCGTTTCCTGGTGAGGGTGGCCGCCTGATCTTCCTCCCTACCTTCCGCAGAGGCCGCGTGGGGCGCGTGGGGCCCGTGGGGTCCCTGCTCGGGGAGTTGTGGGCCAGGGCGTCGCTTGCGCCGCCGCCACTGCCCAAGCCCCGCTGGGGATGCGTGTCCCGGACGTCCTCTAGAGGCGCAGAAGTGCGTGCGGCCTCGGTGTCCAGGTAGGAAGGGGCGGGGTCTGAAGGTAGGGGCCCGGCACAGAGGAGAGGGGAGGTTAGGAACGGAGTCTAGTGGAGAGGGTGAAGTTAGAGGCGGGACCTGGATGTAGAGAGGCGGTGCCTCGTGTGAGCGATGCCTAGAGGGGAGGAGCTAGTTAGGGGCGGTGCCTCTGGGGCGGGGCTCTTAGGGGCGGGGCCTGGCGCAGGGGCGGAGCCTGGAGGACCCAAACTGTGGCCAGGTGGAGACCAGACTTTCCTTCCCTCCTGGTCCCAAGGAGCACTGGTGACTATGCACATCTGTACAGGTGGACGCCAGGGGCCTCGTGTGCAGGCAGACCTGGGCAGATCGGAAGGGGTGCTTCCCCCTGTGTGCATGCCGGAGTGTACGGATGCCTCCGTGGGGGAACAGAAGTCAGTTCATGCACTCAGGGTGCACACATGCGTGGAGTTTGCAGCCCCCCCGCTCCGTCCCCCACGCCCACACAGACACACACTCACAGCCTGGCAAACACGATGCCTAGGCCCTCCCCAAGGCCAGACACCGAGCAAGCCAGGAGGAGACTGGAAATTCCGCTAGCTCCTGGGCTCCACAAACACGGCCTGGAGGCTGCTCCGGGGAGCCCGTCACAGGGTGGGGGCACATGGTGGCCAATGGGGCGTTGGGGTCCCCACCCCATCGCGCCTGGCTCTGCTCTCCCGGCGCCTGTGTCCTGAAGTTTCCAGTGGAATTTTCCATTTTATAGAGAAACCGCGAGATTGGGAAGGGGAGCAGTTGTTCTCAGCCCAAGATCCAGCCCCTCGCTGGGCCCCAAGCCCCTGTCGACATTTTCTGCTGGAAAGGGCAGTGCCGTGTATTTTGAGACTCACCGCTCCTGTCCCCTCCTTTAGGACTTCTTCCGTACTACTCTGGACCCCAGTTCATACCCTCTGGCCCAGCCCCGACCACTCAACCCATCTCCTCCTCATACTAGGGACCACTCCAATCAGGGCCATGCTGAGGCCTCTGAGAGGCACCTTATGGGGTGGGGGGGACTCCAGGTATGTTTGTTGAGTGGCTGAGTGGAAATCCCTCTTCAGGAGGGAGTGTGGAGGTGCCTCTGCTCTGCTGCCTCTCCATATCCCCCCAGGGTGCAGCCTTGACACCTGTGAGTGCCCAGACCATATCCTCCTGGGCTCAGTGGTCACTCCATCCGGACAACCGCTGCCAGGAGCTAGGGTCTCCCTGCGAGACCAGCCTGGCACCGTGGCCACCAGCGATGCTCAAGGAACCTTCCAGGTGCCTGGTGTCTGTGCTGACAGCCTTGCCAATGTCAGGGCCCAGATGGACGGCTTCTCTGCAGGTGTGGCCCAGGCCCAGGCCAACGGATCCATCTCTGTGGTCACCATCATCCTTGATAAGTTGGGTAAGTGCTCTTGAAACATAGGGAACTAGGGGGCTGAGGATCTGGGGAGGAAGTTCTAGCACTCAAAGTCAAGGGAGGAAGAAATAAATTTGACACACTCGGCTGGGCGCAGTGGTAATGCCTGTAATTCCAGCAGTTTGGGAGGCCAAGGTGGGTGGATCACAAGGTCAGGAGTTCGAGACCAGCCTGACTGACATGGTGAAAACCTGTCTTTACTAAAAAAAAAAAAAAAAAACAACCACACACTCATCCGCAAAGGTGCAGGGTGACTCAGGGCATTTCTGGGGGAAAGGAGAGGATGGGAACCTTGCTCCTGGGAAGGGTCCATGGGAGAAGCTCTGATCTTTGCCACCTTTGACTCCAGAGAAGCCATACCTGGTGAAGCACCCTGAGTCCCGAGTGCGAGAGGCTGGCCAGAATGTGACCTTCTGCTGCAAAGCCTCTGGGATCCCTATACCCAAGAAATACTCCTGGTGAGCACCCGCCCCGGGGTAAGGGGCATCTTCTCCAGCTTTGGGGTAGGATTCAATTTCATGTCGTTATGTAGTGCCTAAAGGACAGTCTGGAAGCAGATTCCAGCCTCAGTTTCCCATCTGGAGAGTGGGGAAAGCTTTACTGGGGAATGAATTGGATGGGAGAGGTACAACCAAGGAGGCTGAGCAGGGCCAGTCTTGCTGGAGAGGAGGCTGACTTTGGCGCAGCCTCTCTGCAGCTCCTAGCCTGCAGAGTGGGGACTGACGCAGCCCCTCCCCTGAGTCCTATAGTGTCGCCCACCCACCACCCAGGTTCCACAATGGGACCCTGCTGGACAGGCGAGCACACGGGTACGGGGCCCACCTGGAGCTCCGAGGGCTGCACCCAGACCAGGCTGGCATCTACCACTGCAAGGCATGGAACGAGGCAGGTGCCGTGCGCTCTGGCACCGCGTGGCTCACTGTACTTGGTGAGTGTCCTTGGCCTCATCCGTGAGCAAGCCTTCACTCCAAATGGAGCCCTGACTGTATAACCCTAAATGAGCCCCACTTCAGACTGATCCAATTCTAAGCCTCCACTGAGCCCCCATACCATTCTGAGCACCAATCTTCAGTCCTTTCCCTGGGCAGAACCCTGTCACTTAGGCTGAGTCCTTGACCTCAGACGGTGCCCCCAGCCTTGGCTTCCATGAAGTCCTCCTCCCTGCCCTGACCTGCGTGTTCTCTCTGTCCCCAGCTCCAGGCCAACCAGCCTGTGATCCCCGGCCCCGAGAGCACCTGATCAAGCTCCCTGAGGACTGTGGTCAGCCAGGCAGTGGCCCTGCCTACCTGGATGTGGGCCTCTGCCCTGACACCCGCTGCCCAAGCCTGACAGGCTCTGGCCCCCGCTGCGGGGACACCGGCTCCCACTGCTGCTCTGTGCGCCGCCTGGAGAGAAGGGAGATCCACTGCTCTGGCTACGTCCTCCCGGTGAAGGTGGTGGCCGAGTGTGGCTGCCAGAAGTGTCTGCCCCCCCGGGGACTGGTCCGGGGCCGTATTGTGGCTGCTGACTCTGGGGAACCGCTGCGCTTCGCCAGGATTCTGCTGGGCCAGGAGCCCATCGGCTTCACCGCCTACCAGGGCGACTTCACTCTAGAGGTGCCTCCTTCCACCCAGCGGCTGGTGGTGACTTTTGTGGACCCCAGCGGTGAGTTCATGGACACTGTCCGGGTCTTGCCTTTTGACCCTCGAGGTGCTGGCGTGTACCACGAGGTCAAGGCCATGCGGAAGAAAGCCCCAGTCGTCTTAGATGCCAGCCAGAGCAACACGATTCCCCTGGGCGAGCTGGAAGATGAGGCGCCCCTGGGCGAGCTCGTCCTGCCTTCCGGCGCCTTCCGCAGAGCCGACGGCAAACCCTATGCGGGGCCCGTGGAGGCCCGGGTGACGTTCGTGGACCCCCGAGACCTCACCTCCGCGGCGGCCGCCCCCAGTGACCTGCGCTTCGTGGACAGCGACGGCGAGCTGGCTCCGCTGCGCACCTACGGCATGTTCTCCGTGGATCTCCGCGCGCCCGGCTCCGCGGAGCAGCTGCAAGCAGGGCCAGTGGCCGTGCGGGTGGCCGCCAGCCAGATCCACATGCCCGGCCATGCAGAGGCCCTCAAACTGTGGTCGCTGAACCCCGAGACCGGCTTGTGGGAGGAGGAGAGCAACTTCCGGCGCGAGGGGTCCTCGGGCTCCCGGGTGCGCCGGGAGGAGCGAGTCTTCCTGGTCGGCAACGTGGAGATCCGGGAGCGGCGCCTGTTCAACCTGGACGTGCCCGAGCGCCGCCGCTGCTTCGTGAAGGTGCGCGCCTACGCCAACGACAAGTTCACCCCCAGCGAGCAGGTGGAGGGCGTGGTGGTCACGCTGGTCAATCTGGAGCCCGCCCCCGGCTTCGCCGCCAACCCTCGCGCCTGGGGGCGCTTCGACAGCGCAGTCACCGGCCCCAACGGCGCCTGCCTCCCCGCCTTTTGCGACGCCGACCGGCCGGACGCCTACACCGCCCTGGTCACCGCCACCCTGGGCGGCGAGGAGTTGGAGCCCGCCCCTTCCCTGCCCCGCCCGCTCCCGGCCACCGTGGGTGTCACCCAGCCCTACCTGGACAGGCTGGGGTACCGGCGCACGGACCACGACGACCCCGACTTCAAGCGCAACGGCTTCCGCATCAACCTCGCCAAGCCCAGGCCGGGCGACCCCGCCGAGGCCAATGGGCCTGTGTACCCGTGGCGCAGCCTGCGGGAATGCCAGGGGGCCCCGGTGACCGCCAGCCACTTCCGCTTCGCCAGGGTGGAGGCGGACAAGTACGAGTACAACGTGGTCCCCTTCCGCGAGGGCACGCCCGCCTCCTGGACTGGCGATCTCCTGTCCTGGTGGCCCAACCCGCAGGAGTTCCGGGCCTGCTTCCTCAAGGTGAAGATCCAGGGCCCCCAGGAGTACATGGTCCGCTCCCACAACGCGGGGGGCAGCCACCCGCGTACCCGGGGCCAGCTCTACGGGCTTCGGGATGCCCGGAGCGTGCGAGACCCCGAGCGTCCAGGTACCTCGGCGGCCTGCGTGGAGTTCAAGTGCAGCGGGATGCTGTTTGACCAGAGGCAAGTGGACAGGACGCTGGTGACCATCATGCCCCAGGGCAGCTGCCGGCGCATGGCCATCAACGGGCTCCTTCGGGATTACCTGGCCCGGCACCCCCCACCGGTGCCCGCGGAGGACCCGGCTGCCTTCTCCATGCTGGCCCCGCTAGACCCTCTGGGCCACAACTACGGTGTCTACACGGTCACTGACCAGAGCCCACGGCTGGCCAAAGAGATCGCCATTGGCCGCTGCTTCGACGGTTCTTCCGACGGCTTCTCCAGGGAGATGAAGGCTGACGCCGGCACAGCTGTCACCTTCCAGTGCCGGGAGCCACCGGCCGGACGACCCAGCCTCTTCCAGAGGCTGCTGGAGTCCCCGGCGACAGCCCTTGGTGACATCCGCAGGGAGATGAGTGAGGTGGTGCAGGCACAGGCCTGGGCCTCGGGTCCCCTCCGCACCCGCCGGGGCAGGGTCCGACAGTGACCTGGGCCTGGGGCCTCGCTTTCCTGCCTCCCTCTGGACTCCACCGTCCCCAGGAAGTTTTGCCCCTCCTTCTTCTTCAGACAGCCCCCTCCCCAGGTGTCTGGCCCCCCTTCCTCCTCCCCTGCCCAGAACTGAGTCAGACAAGAACCTGGAGCGTCCGATGGTAGAAACACCAGGGAGGTGATTGCTGCTGTGTGGCATGGAACGGAGTTTGCTGTGACCCTGGCGTCAGCACCCTGGGGACCACGTGCAACCCCAGCCTGGAGGGACCCGCTCCCGGCTCAGAAGCCGTCTCTGACTTCTCGTGCGTATTTTGACCCTGCCTTCAGTATTCTACCCTTGGGAGTTCTGACGTTCCTCACAAAGCCCCCTCTGCCTGCGGACTCAGCGCTAGACCAGGTCCCCTGCCCCGAGCTTTGTTTTTGGGGTTATTTATTGAAACAAAGCGTGGGGAGCTGGTTGTGGGTGTGAGTGGGGGTGCAGGGTCCACGCTGGGCCCAGTGAAAAGGAGGAAGGGGCTTCTTGGGCTTCCCATGCGGGGGAGGCTCTGGGGCTGAGGGGAACAATTCTCTCGTGTTTGGTGCTTAGAGACCTGCCCGGGGGCTGGGGTGGATGTTCCCTCCCTCGGGGGCTCAATTAAAATTGCTTTATTTTCAACGCTTGGTGTCAAGCTACCGGGAGGAAGGGTGGAGGCTGGGGCTGTCCGGCCTAGATGCACCTTTGCAGGCAGAGACACGCGGAGGCACACGCGGCACCGGGGCAAGAAGCCTGGGCGGCCGTGACTGCTGAGCACAGTAGCAGTCACTGCCCCCACCTGGTTTCCTCAGCTGTGCCTGGCCGTGTGCCCTGGGGCTACAGCGGGTGGGGCCGGGCCCTGGCAGGGGAGCATCTGGGACAGGCGACAGCTAGCCAGGCTGCCCTGGACTCTCCTCAGCCAAGTCCACAGCAGCCCTGCCCCAGGCCCCACCCACCTGAGCCCCGGCCACACCTCGGGTGTGATGAGGCTGCCCCAGACCAGGGCTCTCTGACCTTGCCAGGACCCTCGGTCCGGAGGCGGCAGAACCATGGCTAGCTGGCGGTCTGCACGTGTGTCCTCCTGGCACCGCATGGGGCCGGCGCTGATCTGACCACACCCGCACTGTTCAGACAGAAAAACTGAAGTCCTGGGATCTGGCGTGAATCCCAGCAGCCTTGGGGCCCCCTCTAGCTCTAGGTGTGTGATTTCCCAGGGCCTGAGGATGAAGGCATCACTAGGGCAAGGCTGGAGGGGCCTCCAGGGCACCTGGGCTGGGAGACTTTTCCCTGGCTGGCATACCCCAGGGAGTAGGCGTGTGGATCGTCCCTTAGCTTAGGGCGCAACCCCCCATCCACTTCCTCTTCAATCTCCCACCCATCCACTAGCCCCCTCCCCAGATGCTCGATCCCGTCGCCCTCCCATCCGGGGTTTAGAGGCATCAGCTCTGTGCCGGCAACCACAGGCTCACAGGTGCGGACCCCAACACGCCCTGGGGCCAGAGCTCCACCCACAAGGTCCCTGCCTCTTGCCCGTCGGCCACACCCCTTTGTTGGCTGAGGTCTTCGAAACTCTGAACCTCCGAAGCTCTCACCCCTTCACTCAGGGGAAGACTTGGGGGCCTGGAGAAGCTCAGCATGGGAGGCATCACCCCAGTCTCGGAAGGTGGGTCCCAGGGCTCTGCTGGAGTTTGGGTTTGGGTAGCTCCAGACGTCGGCACCCCAGCCTCGCCCTCCATAGGCTGTGATAGGCAAGAGAGGGGAGGTGCTTCAAGGTCCCTGAGGGAGCTGGTCGTGGTTGGGGGGAACACCCATTTATCCAGAACGTACTGCCTCTACACCTCCAGCTGACGGAAAGGCTCAGAGGTGCAGGCCCCCCAACCCAAGGCAACCTAAGTTCCAGGCGTGCCTGCCCCATAGTCCTTGCTCAGGGCTGCCTGGTGGGGTCCTAGGGAGGAACGGGAATGGGGGCGCTCCCATTTGCAGAGGGCAAAGCTGGCTGCAGCTTCCAGGGGGAGGATGATGAGGTGTCAGTCTCCACCGCCAAATACCTTTCATTAAGGAAGTGTTGGGGCCTCTGACGCTGCCAGACCAGGGCAGCCAGCCAGGCGTGGGGCAGGCAGCTGGCCCAGCCCTGTCCCCTTCCCTAGGGTGGGGCAGGGGTGGTGGGCATCTTCCTGAAGACCCCTCCCCAGTCACCATGGCTGGGCCAGGAAGGGCATTTCAGGAGCAAAAGCTGGGCACTGCACGGAGGCCAGAGTCCAGCTGCCCCCACCCCTGCTGATAACTTTGCAAGAGGGCAGCGTTTGACCACAATTTCCAGATGAGGAAACTGAGGGTCCAATACAAGGAAGCCATCACCCTGAGTCAACAGCCATGTGCCTCTTGACCCTGCCTGTCACCCCCATGGCAGCCCTCAAGCCGGGAATCCCACCCCCTCCCTCTTGGAACCTGGGCTACCGCCCGCTTCCTGGTAAATCCATTGTCTACTCCCCCAACCAAACTGAGCTGCCAGACCACAACCCTTCAGTCTGGGGACAGTGTGGGGGCAGGAGACCCCCCCCAGAGACCCCCAGCTGCAGCCACCCTGGGTCAGCTCAGGCCACAAAGAGGCCCTTGGTCCCGCCCATGGCATTTTAGACTTTTATAATTTTAGAACCAGGGGTTCTTAAAATTCCTAGCACCATGATGGGGAAAAAATCTTGGAACAGTAAAATATTTAAAACAAGAGTCTTAAAACCACAGAACCCAAGAGGAGGGGATAAAAATGAACACACGGAGCACTGACTGAATGGAAGCCTCTGGGCCAGCCCGCAAAGCCTGACTTCAAGGGCATTTAGTGTCTACACCTTGGGATCCCCAAAACATGTTTTTAGAGGGGATGATTTTTATCCGTATTTCACAGCTAAAGGAATCTTCTCAGGGTCACACAGCAAATGAGGACACTGTGGACTCGGGGAAGGGCAATGTTTCCTGGAGAAGGGGACCTAAGTGCGGGGTCTTAAAGGATGTGTAGGAGTTTGCCAGGTGGCCAAGGCAGGAAGGGCATTCCAGGAAGCTGGAAAGGTGTATGTGAAGGCAGGGGGAGGGAGACCCACAGAGGGTACCAGAAGGGAGATGCAAAGGTGAGGGGCTGAGTTAGGAGCCTAAGTTCTCTGGTGGGCAATAGGGAGCTATGGAAGGTGCTGGAACAGGACAGGGTTACACAGTATCTTGTGACGAAGACTCCCCTGGAGCTGGTGCAGGACTCAGCTTCTTAAAACATGCTTCTTTCATGGAACTGGGGTCTGCTCCCTCCCACTTGGGGGCCCCTCCAGGGTCCAAACCTGCAGCCCAGCACCATCTCCCCGCCAACCGCCTCCCGTCCTGGCTGAACATCCCTGGCTCCTCCATCGGGGCCTCGTGGACCTGGCGCGGCCACCCACCACTTCCCCAGCCCCGTCTGTCTCTCTCATCAGCCCTTGGAGTTGGATCCGACCCAGCCTCAGACCCCAAAGACTGGAGCCAGCCTGGCGGGGAGACCTGGCTTCGGGCAGTGGGGGAAACGCTTGTGCTTTAACGGTGGAAACCAAGGCAGGGTGCCACAGGGCGAGAGCAGACCAGGTGAATGCCATGTCCCGGTGCCTCAGTCCTCCCAGGGCAGGAGCTGAGGCCAGAATCCTGGGCCTAGGGTGGAGGGGGTCTGGGCAGGTAGGAGGGAGGAGACCCCAGCCAGCAGGGAATTAGCGACCCTGACATCTGGAGGTGAATGCAGGGAAACATATGGTACCCTAGGCAGGGCGAGTGTGTCACACAGAACCAGACACGCCTGTCATCAGTCTCAAGGTCACACTGCCCTCATCACGCCCGATCCTTTCCCCTGTAGTCAGGAGCATGACTCCTTCCTTCCCATCCTTCCTAGCCATCTTCTTGTCACCCGATCGGTGACACTGTCACCCTCAGTTGCACTCGAAAAGATCACAAAGCCAGACACGCCGGACCCTTGGGGCACGCTGGACACTGTCGCCCCTTGTCACAGCCACACAGGCAGACAGATACACCCTCAACACAGAGAAAGGCCCATGCTTCAGGCTCAGGCAGCAGTGCCTGAGTCTGCGTGCACCTGTGCACACCTGTGTGCACCTGTGCCCAGCGCCCCCTTGACGCATCCATCATCACCCTACACATCGGGACACACTTAACCCCCAGACTCCCGGCCTGCCAGAATCAGGGCCAATCTCAACCCCCCATGACCCTCCACAGTTCAGCCCCGCCAGGCACAGGGGCCCTCGGAGCACAGGCTGTACTGCCCACTCTCTTGGGGCCCTGGGGTTGGGGACTGGCAGGAGCCCTCAAGGTCTCAGCTGCTTTTCCAGGGAAGTCCTGAATCCCTTCCTGCTGACTCAGCCCTGGGGGCTGGCTAGGCCAGGCACTGCCAAACCTCAGGTATGTCCTTGAAGGCTGCCTGGCAGGCCTCTGAGGCGGGGGCGGGGCTCCCACTCAGGACTCAGTCCTTCCCCGGGCCCCAGCCTCCCCGCTTACCCCAGATGGAGGTGGAGCTTTAACTATGGTGCTCAGGGCATGGGGCCAGCATGGTGGATTCTGAGGCTGGTTGCTCCCACCCTAGTCCCTCCAGTTGAGGGTTGGTGGAGGAATAAGCTCCCAGCTAAGCCAGAGTATCCCAGCCTGACTGCAGCCTCACAAAGACACTACTGTCTGGTGGGATGTGGCCTGGCCGCCTGTCCTGAGGCCTGGCACAGGGACCCATGCACACACAGTGGGTACACACATGCACCATGTGATGGCTGCATGCAGACCTGTGGATGCGGATGTGCGTCATCAGGCAGAAACTCGCCCCAGGACTGACCCCCACAGAACCCCAGTCAAGATGGGGAGGCAGTACTGGCCACAGATACCCCAGCCTGCAGTGTCAAGGCTGGCCCAGCCTGAAGGCCAGGGGCTATGAAAACTCAAAGGAGGACCCAGGGAAGGCTTTCTGGAAGAGAGAGCATTTTGACTTGGGTTTTGAAGGGTGAGTAGGAGTTTGCCAAAGCGAACTCAGATGTCCAGAAGTCTTGAATGCTGGTTTTGGAGTTTACCTTTTGTCTGTGAGGATGTTGATCAAGGGAGGGAGAAAGACAAACTCCACTTCGCTACCTCCTTTTCAGGACCCAGGCTCTGCCCTCAGGGAGCTTCCAGTCAGATGGGGGAGGCAACACCAACTCAGCTAGGAGGGATAGAAAATAACTCAGCTTTGTGAAACATCTGTCATGCGTTGGGTTGGATCCTGTCAACCCATAGGGCAAATTAAATTCTATTATGATTCCCATTTTACAGCTGAGAAAACTGAGGCCGAGAGAGGGACATGCCTTGCTCAGAGGTCCACACGGAGCCAGAGCTCTTCACCCGCAGCCCTGGTCGCTGACCTGCAATTGCGGCTGCCAACCTGGTCCCAGGCTGACTCAAAAGTTTGTTTGCCAGCCAGAACGGTGCAGCTCAAAGAAGTCTGCGTTGGCAGAAGTTGCATCTCTGCACCTGGAGTCCCGGCCAGGCTGGGAGGCCCCTTCTCCTGGGACACACAAGATCCCCCTGGGACTTCTCAGTGAGATAGTCCCCTGTCCCTTGTTTTCTGGCTGCTGAGTGGCGTTCACAGGGTAGGGGC